CCCTGAATTTTAGGAAGTGAAAATAAGTTTTGGTGACCAAGGAAGACACCATCTTAACCAAGTTAGAGGCCCCAACTGCTTCTAGCAAGGTCATGGTCCTAAGAAGTAGGAGAGGTGAGAGTATGGATCTAGGTGATCTTGCATGCATTTCATCAAACACCCTAGGGTCATACATGTGTATATATTTTGTTTTGTTATTTTGTCATTTTTTTTATATATGAAAATACAAAAACATTTGAAATTTGAAAATTCACAAATAAAAGAAAAAGAAAAATTCAAAAAGAGTTTTGATGTCAAATTGGACATTCATTTTTAGAATTTATGGTAAAATGCTTATTTTTGCATTTCTTTGTTTTGATTGCATCTTTATGCACATTTTTCTTGTATATGTTTATCTTGAAAAATCCAAAAACATTGAAGGAAAGGGCAAAAATATTTTCTTTTGTTTGATTTTGATTTTTCATGATCATGGTAATTCACACTTCATTTGCATTGAAATTGGTTCATCCTTAAGTAAAAGTTGAAATGTACATTGCTATGAGTCATAGTAGGAGATAGAGAACTTAGTAACATAAATCCAATTGCATGATTCATTAGTCAAAGTCTCTTTCATCCTAACGTGCTTGGATAGTGTTTTCCTTTGAAAGATTCAAAATCAAGTTCATGATGCTATCAAGTTCAAGATCTGAAAGTGTCATTAAATAAAGAAGATCAAGCGTCAAAGCTACATCATTCAACCTCCGTAGTACCTTCATGCTTAGGACAAAAGTAATGACCTAGACACCTAAGATAAACCTTAGTTATTTTAACTTATGATGATTATGATGAAAATGGAATTAGAAGGAATCCAATTATGACTTCTAGGTCATTTAAAAAGAAAATTTTTTCTAAACTATTTATGAATTTTGAAAACATAGACTGATTCATAATCGGACCCCTCTTTGAGCAACACCCTTTAGTACTTAAGAGAATAAGTTTTTGCATCGTTTTAGGCTTAAAAAACCTATAGGAACCACCATATGTTCACTAGCCTTCACTAGAGAGCTATCTTGATGACTTAAAAGGAGAAAAAACTACGGGGGATCAGCACGGGACTCGCTTTATGAGCTTGCTCGAGCGGTGCCCACGATCGCCCGAGCGATTATGGTACTTTGCTAGATTAAGACACTATTTTCACTCTAGTGTCAATTGCCCTATAACCGTCCTCCCACCGATTGAGCGGTCATTCACAAATCTAAGTTTTCTTATTTACTAAAAATAACCTTATTCTAGACCAATAAATAGGGAAAACCTTTCCCACATCTAGGTTAAGCCTTAAGAAAACTTCTTGTGAGATTTCTAAGTAAGAAAATTATCTTGTTACCTTGAGAGTTTCTACCACAAACTAGATCCCTAAGATCCAAAGGCTATCACAACTTGGAGAAGAACTTTTTGGTGAACAAATCCATTGGTGTGTATATACCAAGGATTGTTGGTGTGCCCATAATTGCTCGAAGCCTAGATAAACCGTACGACATGGAGTTCCAAGTGAAGCTACATAAGATGTTAGAGAGAGAGTTTTGGCGGAGAGACATAGCAAGGAATGAAGCATCTAGTCATGGTATTAGTTGAGGTGCAAGTCTTGAGTATTTGTATGTTGACTTGGAGAGTAGTGGATTAGGCTTTGGTGAACCCTGAATGGTTCCCCGCAGTTTTTCCTATGGAGAGTTTTCCGTGACAACAAATTGCTTATGTCTCTTATTGATTATTGTATACACTTGCTTTTGTTAGCTCATACGCACACTATGTGTTTGATGTTTTGATTGATTGATATCATATCATTTATAGTTTTGCAATTAGGTTTGTGGGTTTGTTGGGATCACCGTGAGATTGACTTGAGTGAATTAATTTCATATTAATTAAAATCAATCGTCGTGGTTCAAAGGGTTGGTGGTGTTTGAAAAGGGGGATCTCACATTCATTGTTTCATATTTGTGTGGAGAGGTAATTGTGGTAGACATAGATTTTAATTGACAATTAATTTGAACTAAGATTAAAAAACCTATTCACCCCCTTCTCTACATGTATAATTGTGAGAGAAAATCCATATGGGTTCCCCCTCTTGGAATAAAAACTTGGGTTCTGGTAGACTTGTCTCAAGAGTTAAGGCCTATTGGATGTAAATGAATATTTAGAAATAAATATAATATGGATGGAATTTTACAAACTTTCAAGGTTAGATTAGTAGCAAAAATATTCTCACAAAAGGAAGACATAGATTATTTTGATACAAACATACCAATAACAAGAATAACATCCATTAGAGTACTTATGGCTTTAGCATCAATTCATAATTTGCAAATTCATCAAATGGATGTTAAGATTGCATTTTTAAATAGTGATCTTAATGAAGAAGTCTATATAAAACAACCCGAGGAATTTGTTCTCCTTGAAAATGAAAAGAAAGGATGTAAATTATCAAGTTTTTGTATGATTTAAAACAAACACCGAAACAATGGAATAAAAAATTTGATTCTGCAATTTTGTCTAATGGTTTCACTCACAATTGTGCTGATAAATGTAAGTATTCAGAATTTATGAAAAATTATGTTGTGATCATTACTCTATATATTGATAACTAGCTAATATTTGAGACCAATTTAGAAGTTGTTTAAGAAGTATCTAATTTCTTAATTTAAGATAAAAGATCTTAATGAAGTAGATAGTATATTAGGCAAAAAAGTTAAAAAGCATAATGGAGGATATGCTTTGAGTTAGTCTCATTACATTGAAAAACTGTTGCTCAAATATAAACATTTTGGAATTAAGGAGGTTATCAATCTTATGATTCCAATATTAAGATAATTGAAAATCCTGGTAGAGTAGTGGCATAGCTTGAATATGCTAATATTATTGAAAGTTTAATTGTATCAGACAAGATATTGCATTAGCAGTATGTAAAATCGAGATACACTAGTAAACTAAGTATAGACCATTGGAAAACAAATAATAGAGTTCTTAGATATTTCAAGAAGAAAATTAACTTGAGATTATTTTACTATGACTATCCAGCTATGCTAGAATGGTACACTGATGTAAGTTGATTTCTAGTGTAGTTGATAATAAAGACACATTAGGTTAAATTTTTATGTTAGGAGGTGGAGCAATTAGTTGGTCATCTAAGAAAGAAACTTGTATATCACATTATATCATGGAATCTGAATTTTTAGCTTTAGCAACTGCCAACAAAGAAGTCGAATGGTTGAGAAATTTAATGTTGGATATCAAGTGATGCCCTCAACATATACCACCTATTTCCTTGCACTATGATAGTGAAGCAACTGTGTCTAGAGCATGTAGCAAGATATATAATGGTAAATCTAGATATATTAATTTAAGACATGAATATGCTAGACAATTAATGGATGCTATTGTAATCATTATCCATGTAAGGTCTAGCAATAATTTGACAGATCCTCTAACTAAATGATTGTCAAGAGAGTTGGTGAGAGTTACATCCAAATGGGACTGAAAACCTTTTTCTTAATAGTCACCAATAATGGTAACCCAACCTTGTTCTAGCAAAAATTAATTCTAAGGTTTAAAGGATGGAAACAAATTAGTGTTATGTGACTGAGAAATCACTAAAATTTATATAAAGTTTCATTTGAAATTTATTGCTAATTGTTACGATAAATAGATGATGAGTACGTACTCTTAATGGAACTAAATTTTACAAATATCTATGGTAGCGGGGACAATAATGGTAAAATAATTTCACCTATATGAATATAGAAATGGTGCTGCTTCTAGCAAGAGCTTACGGTTTATTCTTAGAAATATTCATGAACTCAAAATTAGTGTAGGGCCATAATAGTGCTGAGCAACATATACTGAAATCTCTACGAACAGGATGCTAGTTTATATATGGTTCTTCTAGTTTTGTCGCATAAAATACTTAGTTCAATGCTAAGGCAACCAATTACTTTGATAAAACTGTGATGTACTTATACTAATTGAAGGTTTAAGTTAAAAAACACCTTCTTGTATTTGAAATGACATACATTTGGATTGAGAGATATTCATACTTATAAAATCAAAATGACGGATTGTTGCCACTTTATTTCTAGTTTGATCGAATAATTAATTTATATTGAATATTTATGACTATTAAAAAAATCTATTATTTGAATAGTTGTGATTATTAGGAAAAATCACTATTTGAAGAGATGTGACCATTTAAAAAAAAAAAATTATTTAGAGAGGTTGCGACTATTAAGAAAAGACACTTTTTTAGTAATTCATAGTTTTTAAGAAAACAACACCACTTTAGAATGGTCATCACTTTTAAGAAAAATACACAATTTTAGAGGGTCATAACTTTTGGAAAAAAAAACACCAAAAAGTCCATAGATAGGGCTTACACTTCATTCAAAAATACACTAAGTTCAATTTAACTCATCTTTCTCCCCCCCCCCCCCCCCCCCCCCAAAAAAAAAAAAAAAAAAGAACAACTATTCCCCCTTCTGTCTCAGAATTAAAACTGTTCAAAAAGTTTTTTTTGGAAGTTCTTCAATATTATTAATTACAATTTAGCAATTCTTTACCCAAAGACTTTGTTATATCCCGAAAGTGATTTATCAAGCAAACTTCTTGAGTTGAGACAAATATAACTTTAAACAAAGTAAAGTGAACTAATGCGTCTCAAATCCATCATTTAAGTATATTTTCGATCTACTTGACACAATTTCCCAACAGAAAAAACCAAGTGCAAGGAAAAAATGTCCTTGCAAAAACAAAGCCTCTCTGATTCAGAACTTAACTCAGGCAACAAGTGATGCTTTTAGCAACAAAAAGGGCTGAGAAGCAACACGAGTGCTTGATTGTGCACTTTCACAGTTACTTCCGAGGCAAAATGGCTCACTTCAGAAAATCAAAGGTAATGTTTCAAACAAAAAAAACAATATTAACCCTTCTTCTAATTACTATCACAACTTTCATTACCACCCCAACTAAAACCGTCACTCTCCACCATAGCTGTCCCTGCAAACAAAACATCAATCCTCAAGTTGCTGTTGCATTGCCAGTATCTCCACCATAACCATCAAAGCAACCAAATATTTACACTCAACAACACCAATCACTATCAACAAAACAAAGTCCTCGTAAAGACCATATTTATGCATACCATAGGGAATCTTAGGTATAATTTTGTTCATGTGAACCTTATTGTCATTCGGTACCTTCCCACTAAAAAGTAAAATATGCAAATTGTTAGCGGGAAAGCACTTTGTGTCTTAAGCAATTACAAACTCCATAAGTTCCTAGTCTAAATTCTTTTGCAGCAACAAGATTCATCATCTTCAACATCCTTTCTCCAGGGAATCCCTAAATGCATGCCATGTTGGGTATTCACGAAACCAATAGATCCCACCTTTCCATCTCACACCAATTCAAAACTAATATTTGTAATAGCATTGTTGGACATGAAAAGGCTTCAGAAAAATCTAGTAGACGAAAGGGACATGAAGTTATTCAACAGGCACCAATTTATTAATTTTCCATTTTAAAAAATCATGCAAAACCAAAACCAGACTACAGCATCTCAGTGCAAACTGAAATAGAGTGGTAGTTGAGATCTGATATATGATTTCCCACATCAACCAAAATGCACAAGCTGCCCACAAAACAGGATGTCAAGAACAATGCCGCAAGATGCATACAGCCATGATACAAAAGTTATAAAGGAAGAAGCCGTAAAGTAATAAATATGCTGGTACCCCTGAGACGCAGCACGGATGATGAATATTAACTTCTGGACAATGTCGAAACCAATATCATGTAACCATATTCAATGGGGGTCATATCAAGGACACACGAAGAAAGGAGGTTGGCGTCCATTACTCGTGCTTCAAGCTGTAGAAGACCTGAGCCTGCTGGTATTCTAACCATAATTTTTTTTTGCTTTGATAGAAATTCTAAGCATAATCAGATGCTACAAGTTATGACATGAAATATAAAAAAGCATACTGCATCCTCGAAAAGTAGCCAAATTGATTTAGCTAGACTGCTAAAAGTGTAAACAACATCACAAGTTTCTGTTCGTACTATGAATATGTACACGCAATTGATCAGATACATACAGAAAAGTTTAGGATGCCAAAGAGCAAAAATGAATCAAACAGAAGGACTAGACCTGAGCACCCTCTCCAATTTCTCAGCTTTGGTGTAATCATTTTCTGAAAGAGGACCAGCAGGAAAAGAAGTGATTTCCACAACCAAATGTGGAGTGGGGAGCTCATCAAACAATGCCCTCACATTGTTACAACAAACAGTTTCTCCATGAGCACTCTCCCTCCTAATCTGACAACCCTGAAAAAATCACGAAGAACTTCTTTAAAAAGCAAGAAAACCTCAACTTTTAGATAACAAGTCTTCAGAATGATAACAAAGAGCAGATTTAAACCAAATGTTAAAGAAAAGTTAAAAACAGTATTTTGGAGAAAAGCAATTCAGTAAACTTGTGTTACCTTGTGGGAAGTGGCATCTCTAAAATGATCATCATCTGATAGCAAGGAAGCAATGGCTTTAAGAAGACGCCGCCCTTCAGATTTGGAAGGTACTCTGTAGTTCCGCTTAAGTGTGCCTTTAGTTGTAGGATGCCATTTACTCACTAATTTCCTTTTGTCAGCTGCTTCCCTCTCTGCTTAAACAGAATGACTTCAAAAATACGAGAACATGAAACCAATAAAAAGGATATTCATGCTCATAGAGCCTTGATTCACCAGATAACTTGAGTAACCATAGCTACATGCATATTCAATGAAATCAGACTCACAAACTTTCAAATTACAACTAGTTTTACTCATTCATCCCAAAGTTGATCAGCTTTACCCCATGGTAAGCTAGAAACAATACCTTGTACCATAAGCTAGAAATACTCATTCATCCCAAAGTTGATCAGTGCTACTTCAGAAACTACCATAACAGTCCTAAAACTGAAACATGCGGTATCATATGATTATACCTATTCAGCTTCATCACAGAAACTTCGCCTTATAAAGGTTTGTTTTTTTTTTTTATTCCAACAATCCATATTTCACCCCCATAGAAAGAAAGAAAAGTATACCAAGTTGCCAACACTTGAAATCGAAAAGAAGATCGAAATTGGAACAAGATCAGGAAATTGAGGAGTTATGCCATATTCTAGGCTCCTCATACCCAAATTATACTAGTAGTAGCTTAATGACAGGTCCACCATACTCATAATCAACTTTTAAAAAAAAAAATGGCACCAAATTCATAATTAATATAGCAATTTTGAGTTTTAAAAAATCTGGGTATAACTTCTCTTTGCCTAATAGGAAGTCCATGAAATCATAAATTGACAGTAATGATAAACGCGCCAGTGAAATCGAAAAAACCCACAAACCTGGTTTGCCTTGTAGCTCGTCAAACCAATTGGAGAATCCCAAATCATCACCACCAGCTTCCAAATCTACCAAAAACGCCCAAATCAAGAATCCAACATAAAAACCAAAAATACCCATTAAGAAACGCATACAGATTTATGTAAATCACATTGACAATAGAGAGACCTGAGACAAGTGGGTTAGCAGGAGACCCAGCCAAGCCAGCCTTCAAGAGAGCATAGAAGATGCAAACCCTGCTAGCCCACAAAACAGGAGCTTCAAGCAAAGAAGCATATATGCCTCTAGCAGAAGAGAACCTCGTATTGGATGATCTGATTCTACTCGAAGAGTAAAACCCAGTTTTCTCAAGGCTAGGAAACAGGGTTTTGGGTAGAAAAACAGTGGTTGTAGGGCTCATATTCTTGAAGTAGTAGTAGTTGTTGGTAATGGTAGTGGGGGAGGTGGATAGGAATGGCGATGTGAAGCTGTTTGTGGTTTGTGGAAGCATTTCTTCGTTGGATCAAAAATGGTGAAAACAATGGTATCAATCTAGTCCTTCCTGTGCAATGTCAGTGTATATACTATATGAACTCAATTTTATTTTACCCTTTTGAGTTATTAATATTTTCATATTATCCCTTTAATTAATTGAATTATTTTGTAATTCTTCAAACAAAACATTAGGGGTGTTCGCCTTTCCTCTGGGTAAGAAATATTGTCTTCCAATCCTATACATTGCTGAAAAAAATTTTCTTGGCCTACCATAACCAATCAGATGTGATATTCCTATTCAATTTCTTTCCCGATTATTCGAGTAAGAAGTCAGGTAAACACTTTTGTAATTAATTTTTAGATTATTTTAATAATTCAATTAAATAAGATACACCAATTTAACAACGCAATAAATCAATAACACTAAAACCTAACTACAGCAACAATTACAATATATATAAGAAAGTATAAATATCAATTCATCATAATTGTTACATAAATACAAATAATTATTTTAAGTTTAAACTATATGAAGCACATTAAAATCATAATTGCTCAAATAGTTCACCACAAATCATATAATTTACACAAAAAACAAGTCTATATTTTCGCAACTCAAACATCTACAACAATAACAATATTATAATATAAATTATATACCACACAAATACTCTTATAATTACTAAAAAAATATATAAAAAATTTAAATATATTTTTTGTGGGTAGGGTAGGATAGGAATGCAGAAATTGATGGGTATTCCGCATTCCTATCTGATTTAATCGAAAAATCAAAAACTCTTTCACATTCCTATCCAATTTTTGCGGCTGGCCGTTCTGTAACGCTCTAAAATCCACCATAGAGTTGCTTCAACTAAACCTAATATTCCAGTGATAGTCAACAACCTACAGTTCTCATATAAGACCTAATTCTTAAACTCTGATACCAAATCTATAATGCCCCAAAATCTACCCTCGAAGACATTACTATTTTAAAAAAAAATCCTCCAATCATGAGAGCAACTATAATAACTATTAAATAATAAATTATTCATCCATTTGACAACGAATAAATACTAAAATCAATAGAACATTGAAACTTCTCCAACTTACAAATCAAAACCAAGAATATCTAGCAGCGGAATAATAAAAACTAACTAAAACATTGTTTCATAAAAATCTCTCAAACTCTAAACCAAAAGTAGATCAACTCTATTCCTCTAAGATAGGATCCCCATCTAGAACCTCCAACGGCTCGTAATCAATCTGTTCATCTACATTGATATCTTCTTCTATGCCAAAATCTGTAAGTATGTTGTAGGGGTTGAGCAAAAGCCCGTAGAAAATCCCTCTCAAATCCCAACAAGGTTTAAAACAATAAAAGATGGCAAGTCTCTTTTGGAAAATAGCATATAAAGATTTTTGAGAATAAAACCATAGTAGTTGTAATGATCTCAAGTGTACGGAATACAGTGAATCAATGACAGGAATAAACTTGCAAGAAGCAATCAAATAAGTAATTCAGTAACATCATTCAATATTCTCATGTATGTTAGTTCATCCTCATTGTCATGTATGTTGGTTGCTTATCAAAAATCTACACAACGATCTTACCTCGTTCACCCATCATAACCACACAATCACAAACATTTTAAGAAGGGCGTATACCGTCTCCCACGACATTGACGAATCCTTCCCAGAAAAGGTATATCATCCCTCAACCTCGAACAAACGTGAACAATAGTGGTTGCTCTCACAAATAACAATCAACTACAAGTGTTAGGCAACCATCTTACCCCTACTGGGATAGACTAACCTCTAATACTCTACGACAGCTCTCGAAGGCAATTCAAGTTCATCACAACAAACCATACAAGAGAAGAAACCACAATATTCTCAACAACCACAATCTTAACCAATCACAATTTTCATTAATAACTCAAGTATCACAAGTGCACAATTCTCAATATACTATAGTACTAAATGAATTAAAATATACGAGAAATCATCTCAAGAAAACATTCACAATTTCGATATCAAAATTCTAAGGTTTAGCCAAAAATGATAATTTCTTGGAACAAGAACAAATATTAAATGAAAACATGATTTAATCAAGAATGAGAATTTAGAAATCAAGAATCCATATGAATTTCACAATAGAACATATATTTTAGAAAAACTAGGGTTTTGGAAATTCAAGAACATGTATTCCTTCAACTCAAACATGTATTTTGTTCAGGACTATGTTCCAATGATAAAGAAATCAAGAACTCATATATATCTGTCATATAATTATCAAGAAGATTGAAATTATACATAATTATACCCTAAGTCTCAATGAAAGAACTTGAGAAAAATCCCCTACCTTAATTCTTGAATTTTGATCCTAATGTGTTTCATTGCGATTACCCCACGTTAAAGGTTCAAGATTTATCCTATTCTTCCTCCTTTTCTTCTCCTCAAACTTTTCTAGGTTTATTAGGGTTGAAGATTAGGTAATGTCTCTTTAGATCACGGCCCTAGGGTATTTATAGGCTGAAAAATAGGGAATTCCCGAGTGGGCGTTGGTAGTAGCCTACGTCTGACTTCTAACTCGATTGTGACCTAGTTAGAGGCCGTTTCGCGAAATTGTCATGAAATACATTATTGTAGCCCTTGAAGTGTAGTTTCTACTGTAAAACTTTCAGGTTAATATGACGTTAGGGTAAATAGTTATATTCAAAATACGAAGGCTATGTCAAATTCCTTTTCACCTTAATCCTATTCAAAATAGGTTTTAACTCTAGAATAGTTCTAAACTTCTAATACAACTCATATAACTTCTTCCATTATTTTTTGACATTTCGGATTCAATGGAGACCTTATTTTGATCTAGAAATATTTATAAAATTATTTAGTCACCCTTCTCAAACTTAAACATTTCTAAAACTCAATTTATTTCGAAAGTCAAATACGCTTGAAACTTAAATTTCGTAATCAATATTTTAACAATTATTTTAAGTTTCTATCATTATTTTATTCGTCTTAGGAGAAATCTTAAGGTAATATTATATTTATTTAATTTTAAAATGGGATCTTACAATCCACCCCCTAAAAAAAAGTTTCGTCCTTGAAACTTAATCGACGTGTTAGTCTATCTAATTCTAATTTACCACAGGTTCTCAACGTATATTAGTCCCTTAATGATCAAATCCAAGATTAGAATAGAATACCATATTCTAAATTTATATACATCCTTTCCACTTATAACATCATTGTAGTTATTTAAAGTCTCCAAGATTACATTCCTTCAATAGAATTCATTTATCACCTCTATTTTCAATAATTGTATAAGATTGTTCCATCTAATTTGTTATCATGTATAACTACTAGATCATAATATTTAATTGTCTACTCCTCAAATAGTTCGCTACGCACTCTAATATAAATTATAATCCACCAATTCATAAATCAAAACTAGCCACAAGATAAAAGTTACCATGAGTTTGAATGTTTTGACAATATATGTCAAATTCCCCCAAGATGTACAGATGAAATCTAACCACACTTGTCTTATGATTTTGTCTTCCAAAATATATACACTAACAATCTATCTTTCTCCTCCAAAAGAAATTTTAGCAAATAAATCAAATATACTACTTGGGCTAAGAGTCAAGTTATATCTCCAAAATATTTTCTTTCAGTTCCCAATCTTGGGCTCAAATCAATAAGCCTTACAATCCCCTTCATAAGTCACTTGTATCTAGATTCATACTTTTAGATCAATCTTAATATCTCTATATGTTTACCAAATCGACTAAGACCAATTATTTTTTCTATATCCCAAATATTCATTCTCAATCTCTAACCTTAAGTTAGAATTAATAAACCATATAATCAATCCTTAGGGGCTTTCATTAACCTCTCTATTGTTTTCACGATACATATATTCTTGAATCCCTATGATACAATTCGATAAAATATATTTCTTGTAATATACCAAAAGGTAAAGATAGACTACTGAGGATTCCAAAATATCTTTCAATCAACTACTACCAAATTTCTTGTGATGTAATCAAAACCAAAAATAAGATTTTCGATGATTAACTAATATTTCTCGATTTAACCATATTTATTATCATAGCCTTAACCATTACTTATAATCTCTAGGATAATAATGATCTTCTAATTACTAGGATAACCATAGTCATTCATTCCCAAAATTACATAAAGTTTCTACATCCATATCAAAGCCAATCTACATAGGTATCATCATTGATTCCTCCAATTACATCTTTTCAATTATCACTACTAACTGTAAAGTTCAAATCTTCAATGCTCATACCAACAATCCTCAAGTATGAATAATCAAACTTATCTTAGTAATGTACTAAAAGAAACAGGAAAAATAACTTCATTTTCCCCCAATCACAACTCCAATAACATTTAAAAGATCTCACATAACGATAGAAGTTAACACTAAACATTGAAATCATCCTTATTTCAATAATTGCCTACCATATCTGACCTCGAACTTTTAGACCTCTATAATATTTAATCCTAGAATATCGAGGATCAAAGGTAACTACTACTACTTAATTAGGCTTTCTAGATTTCCTTTTTACATATCTATAAATTCGTTTCCATAACTCGACCTCAAATTTCCAATCAAAATTTGTAAATATAAATCAACTATTAACTCCACACTCCACCAAGAGAATCTTGATTGTTAATACTTTAGAGAGTTTAAGTGTAGTCAACTAAGCTCACCACGAAATAAGGTTACCTAAATATATCATTCTCAATGAGTATTCTATTTATGACTCTTATAAACTATTAATACTTCAAAAATAAATTTAATCAATACTCTGTAATATTTTAAAATTAATATTGGGAACTTCAAGTACGTAGTTATAAAACAATCACCTATCCATTCAAGTCCTATAACCACAATTCCAATCATTATTCCAAAACTAGGTTCCCATTCTAGATTACTTCACCATGTCTCTTCTAATTTCTATAACTTTTGAGTGTCACACA